AATGTGCTACTTCGCAAAATTAGTAATTAACAAAAAAACAATTGGCTTACTAATATAATTTATTCAAATAATCTTGTGAAGCAGCACATTCGAACACAAACAAACGAAATTCAGTACAACTATTTTTATTATTTTTTCAATAAGAGCGGGGATACGTTACAAGATATTAAATGTTAAAAGAATTTCTCTAAATGTTATAGAAGTTGGGCGTTTTCTGCGAATTTAAATTTATCCCAGAATCTACTTATTCTTGATAAGAGAAAAAACAGCCTATTAAGATGGATAGTGAAGAAGTCGTATTGTAGCGAGCACGAGCGTGTTTGTGTGCGGTCGGGCATACGTGTGTGTGAGCGGCTTATCGATTCGCCGACTAGCCGCGGGCGCCTTTCTTCATGTGCGCCGTATCTGTAAACGTGTGTGTCATACCTGCGTTCCGGGAAAGCAATTAAACCGTTCAAAGAAAACGAGACTTCTCTGGACGGCTGGAGAATGTTCCCGAAAAGAGGCAAGGGAGTATAAAAAGGAAGAGACGATCGCCGAGGGAGTAGAAATAAATTGACCGTTGCTGAAGTGAATCAAGAAATAAATTGACAGTGATAGAAGTGAAATAAATAGAACAGTTAATAGTAACAGCAGTGTAAATAAATAGAATAACTACCTAAGTTTAGTAATAATTTAATAGTGTCTTTAAGTTTAATAGTAATTAGTGTAAATAAATAGTTTTTGTCATTGTGAGTCTTAAAATTTAATTTGTTAAACCCACGAACATTACAATATGAACTAAATTAATGATATCGGCCTTCTTCTCCTTGTTCGTTCAGTATTCACGTCATATGGATTGTATCTCTTGTGTGTTTGAAGTATGATTGCCAGACATTTTTTTGCCAAAATTTCCCTAGATCTTCTTAACAATCTGACAACCACATTTACCCTAGAAATCTCGAGTCGTAGGAACAAGTCGCATCCTGTTCCCTCCCATTATGGTCTTAATACAAGAAGATCCCCTCTCGAGTGAATAACGGGTTGTAGGCTGGTTGAATTTAAACGGACTTAATCGTACCCTCGCCTGGCACATGCACTCGCATCTGTGGTGCAACTGGTTCATTGAATTTTTCTTCGGCACTGGCGGCGATGCGCTACGCGATGGTTTGAAAGTCTGTCACGCTTCAGATTAAAGTTGGAAGCTCGGGGTATGAGGAGAATTTCAATAAGTTTCTGAATGCACGAAAGAAGTAGAAGTAGTAGTGGAAGAAGAAGGAGGAGGAGAGAAGGATGAGAAGCCAGGCTACCACGGTGCCGTCGGCGAGAACGAGAGGCGCAACCCTCAAAGCGAACTTTTCTTTATTCAGTGGTGTAGTAGTCGAGTGAGTGGATGCCGTTTTCGACCTGTTTTCGTTCAATATTGCACGAAAATATGCGATGCGTTATATAGACGGAACGTCGCACACAAGTTAAGGAGATAATCCGCAAAAACCAATTTCGCAAATGAAAGAAAGTCTCGTAGGAACTTTCGCAACGTCGTTCCAAATTACACCGTTTTACTAACGCGGCATTAGTTTCTGGTTACGTACATAGATTGAAAAGAACTATAGCTGGTATGTTCAAAATTGACATAGTTCGCAAATAAAACTTTCTATACATTTCAGAGACATATTAGTGGCAGAAACAGGAGTTAGGAGGAGTAGAGGTAGACCTAGATTAGATTACTGTTCGCAAATAGTTAAGGATGTTGGATAGTTGTTCTAGTTTTAGGGAAATGCGAAGTTTAGCTCAGGATAGGAATAAGTCTTAGGACTGACGACCTTATAATGATGACATACTAACTAGACTACAGCGGTTGTTGACAGAACACCTATTTTTAGTCACGACAGACATCGTAGGAAATATCCTAAACATAGAAAAGAAATGCTAGGTAGGAATTGCAGCGGACACTAATAGAGAAAAAGGAATAACATTCACTAAATGATGTGTAACAGAGAGAGATGCAGACAAGCAGAATTTGACCATGTTGCGAGCTTCGAACTTTAAAGAAAGTTCAACATTCTCAAGAATTTAGAAAAGTAAGGATGCTTGTTCAAAGATATAATTCCAACCAGGCAATTATAAAGTCAACCATGACCTTTCTACGTACCTAAACAACTTGTATCCGCTTCTCTGCTTACTATTATTCGACCATCACTTTTCACTTTGTACTAGGGGAGACTGGGGCTGGTCGTGACAGGGGTAGGTAGTTACAGCGGCAACGGTGGCTAAACAAATAACGCTATTTTGACGTAAGAAAGATAGAAATGATAAGTCCACCACCGGTTAGCACCTCTCACGAGTTAGTGGCGCCAGCACTTTCGTGAGAGGAACCCTTACATCTTGCCATCAAAACCGCAGGTAACATTTTCGTTTTTTCGGAATATTGGTCTACAACCTCTTTTCCTTTAAAGCAGATATGTGTGTGTAGTTTTATTTATGCCCTAATCGTTTGTTTTTGCAAAGAATCGACGTTTATACAGTTTTACTTATTTGCGGTTTTAATACTTAACCTTGAAGGGTCAGTTTTGGCGTTGGGGCTAAAAGTGACATTTTCTCGGGGCAGGTTGTTATTTGTTACTACCTGCCCCGTAGTGCTGCACAGGAACAGAGTAAGAAAAAGGAAATTACATCAAAAAAAGGAAAGGTNGGTTTTACTACTTAACCTTGAAGGGTCAGTTTTGGCGTTGGGGCTAAAAGTGACATTTTCTCGGGGCAGGTTGTTATTTGTTACTACCTGCCCCGTAGTGCTGCACAGGAACAGAGCAAGAAAAAAGAAATTACGTCAAAAAAAGAAAAGGTAACTAAAAAAGGGAAGTCCACTGAGCCAGTAAAGATGAAGAGGGAAAAAACACCTAAGGAAACAAGGAAGAAGGCTGTAAAAAGGAAGGTTTTACATTACTGAGTCTAACGAAGGAAGTATAGATGATTATTTTTGCCTGATATATTGTGAACCGTTTGATCAGAGTCGAACTGGTGAGGAATGGGTACAGTGTGTGGTTTGGAAGTTAACTAAATTTTATTTTTATGAGGCGTAAGACCAAAAAATATGATTATAATNGGAAGTATAGATGATTATTTTTGCCTGATATATTGTGAACCGTTTGATCAGAGTCGAACTGGTGAGGAATGGGTACAGTGTGTGGTTTGGAAGTTAACTAAATTTTATTTTTATGAGGCGTAAGACCAAAAAATATGATTATAATTTTGTTCAACGGTGTTACTAGGTTTTTGTTATAATGGGGCAAAAGACTGCTATACAGACATTGTAGTTTGACGTTGTAGACATAATAATTGTAATAAATTGTCGTTATTCTTAATGAAAAGTGTTATATTAAATTTGGTTTTTCTGGTAACATTTTGCCCCTTATAGTGTAACAACCAGCCCCTGGCAGGGGGCTAAAAGTTACACGTCTCTTTTCCCAGAATTTATTCTGTTTTTAAATTAATAACCCAAATAGTTACTTAATCAAACAAACCTACATTCCAGTAAAACAATCAAACAAACAAAAAATTACATTTAAAAAAAAAATGTCACGACCAGCCCCAGTCTCCCCTACTCATGAAGCATTTCCTAACTGAACAAGGACGTGTTCGAAACGCAGCTAATGACTACAGTTCCAAGTGGAGACAAAAATAGATACGTCTATTCTCACAGATAATTTATGCGGATTATGCCAATTTTGATAGTCTCAAATTGGTTTTCGCAGATTATCTACAAGTCCCCACGTTAAAGAAGGAGTTTGTGTAGAGTCGGTAAATAGACAGAGTAGTGCAATCGTTCCATTCAGAAAATGCAGACTTGGCGGCCATATTTACTCCAATTGTCAAACTGACAGACGGCTGACATTCGATTAGCCACCGAAATTTTGAAAAACATTGAAAAATAAGCTCAGGGCGGAGATTCATTTCACAGTGACATCATATATACCTATACTGTAGATACTAAATTGGAGTAAACATGGCGCCGGTTTGGGCGATTGCGCTGCTCTCTCTCTATAGACTCGCTCTGGTTTATTGTGCCAGCTTGTGGTATATTTTAAACTACACTTTAAACTAATTATTATGCTCTTCGTTCGAGTTCCATAAGATGATGAGGAAATTGTTCTGACGACATTTTAAATAAAATAGGATGAAGATAAGTCACGAATTAAAACCAGTCATAGTTTAAGGTTTAAGTCAATCAGAAATAGGCGAGATAGGTTTGTAGAACACCTTCTTAGGTATAGAGGGTTAGTTAAAAACATATTAGAGACAGAAACACGAGTTAAGAGCAGTAGAGGAACACCTAAATTAGATTAATATTCAGAAAAAGTTAAGAATGTGGGATATTCTACCTAGTTTTAATGAAATGCGAAGATTAGCCCAGGATACGAAAGAGTGGAGGTGCGTGTCCAAACAGGACTGACGAGCTTATGATGATGACGCTAAAATAATAATAATAATAAAGCCTTGTTTATTCCTTAAATAAACAATAAACAAGATGACGCTATACTATATATTAATTAAAGAAATTACACCACCCACGATCCACGACCCACGAAAACTGTGTTTGCAACATAGAATTGCTCACGTGAAAATCAGTTGGGACTGTGCTCGGCGTGGAATGGGTTCAATATGCGCTACCCTCTCTATAATTGTACTGTGCGTGGGCTGGGTTCAATTTGAATCGGGCTCTAGGGCCCCATGATGATGATGGTTTGACGTAGATCATCATGTGAATTCCAACATATTGTATCGTACTATCAGATATTCCAGTTACACCGATATTATACACAAGACAAAAGTTTTTTTACTGTTTAATCACCTTTTCGGCATTCCACGCATCCTTTGCCTTAACAGAGAAATTATGCTTTTCATCATGACTAACTGAGTGATGGACAAACACACAGACAGGCGGCGCTGATTGTAACGTTTCCTTTTGCACATTCGAAAACTGGGCATTAAGGAAAATCAGAGTTAGCAATGATTTGCAGCAAGAGGAAGTCGTTGCTAAAGAAACATCTTCTAAACAAATTACGTTTGTTTTTTTAGTATTAAATTTGTCGTGGTTTTTATCACAAAATCTTTGAGAAATATTTATAATTGAATTTTAAAATGCTACGATAACTATGTATTTGGGTAGGTAATTATGGAACGATTTGTAATCTATAGAGCCAATGGGATTAGGGTCCAATAATTATTGTGTTTTAAATTGAATTGCAATAGATTCTTAATTGATTTTGGAGCAAATGTCTGATATCCAAATGGATTATACCATCATAATCCTTTAAAGGTATGGCACTCATATTTACATTTATTTTGTGTACCATTGGTATCCAAACCAAAAATTACTTCAATAAATGTTTTATTGGAATATTGAAGAGATTTTTATTGCTAATTAAAGTCATGAACTGAAGAAAAAACGAAAAAGATTTTTAATTTTATTTCCAGAAGATTAAGTTATGGTTTGGAAGATATTTCAAATAAGTCAGAGAAACTTTTCAATCTAACCTAACCTAACCTTTATGATGTAGAAGAAAATAAGGAACAATATATATTTTAAAATGAATGTTTGTAGGATGATGAAGAAGCTATTTTGAGGATACTACAGGAAGTAAATTCTGTTAGAGTGATGTCAAAATACCTAAGTTTAGTTCCAATTAAAAGAGAAAAAGTTAGACTTTGGACTTCTTTAGATGTAGATGGATTGTATCAATTGGAATGTCTTTAGTAACACTTATTTTCAGACACGTCCAACTTATAATAAAATAAAAAAAAAATAGTTTCTTTCCATACTTTAGAAATCATCCAATTTACAATCGCTTATGTGCCCAGAGTTCATGTATTAATAATAATTCTTAATACGTGGAATTGAGCTATTTAGATTTCTTTTGTATAATTCAATGGTGTTTACTATTGGGAAAAGAATCCAGACACTGAAATCAGTCAGTATTTCGTCTATTTAATTAACAGCCTGTGATAATATTGTTTCTAATTAGGTTTAATTGTTAGTTTTCTGTTTCTTTAGTGTAATAACTCAATATTATGTTATTGACAAAACATTTAATTTTAGAAATGTTAATTGTAGGAATAAAATATATATATATAAGTACTTATTCTGCAATAAAACTGCAATGAAACATGGCGTTTTGATTTTTTTGTAGATTATTACTGTATTCAGCCGAGAGATTTATGAAAGCTGTTCAGTTTTTATATCATTTTTCCCTGTTTTCACCCTAACATAAAGGATGCCTTTGGTTCTTTAGAGATAATAAATGATAGGTAACCATTGTGCGGCCTCTAAATCCCATGGATTTTGTTATTAAGGTTAATAATTTTCGTCTTTTAAGTCCACTTTTACCCCTACCTCGCTTACTCTGACGTCACGACTACTAGCATAGCACCTGCAGAAAATGGCTGACGATGGCAGCTGTCAGAGAAGGCTGACGATGGCAGCTGTCAAAGAAGGCTGACGATGACAGCTGTCAAAGAAGGCTGACGATGGCAGCTCTCAAAGAAGGCTGACGATGACAGCTGTCAAAGAAGGCTGACGATGACAGCTGTCAAAGAAGACTGACGATGACAGCTGTCAAAGAAGGCTGACGATGGCAGCTGTCAGAGAAGGCTGACGATGGCAGCTGTCAAAGAAGGCTGACGATGACAGCTGTCAAAGAAGACTGACGATGACAGCTGTCAAAGAAGGCTGACGATGACAGCTGTCAAAAATTGCGTGGAGGGGGGAGGGTAAAATGTAGAATGTGAAGGAGGAAAATGAACCTTGAAGAAAATACATGGGATTTTGGGGCCGAACGAAAGTTACCTGTTAATGAAGATTCAAAGTTTTGAATATTGTTAAATAGCAACGAATTTTATATATATTTATTTAGAAGTAAATGCGAATTTATAACATTTATAACAACTCAGACACCAATTTATTTACTCAAAGAGTAACTTAACTATAATTGATAAATAATTTATAAATAATAATAGTAAAAGATGACAAGAAGCACTGCTAACTCTATACAAATTTAATAACAGTGAATTGGTTTCCATATCGCATCCCAAAAGATGTGAGCGAGTTTCTTTGGCATCAGCCCGTCTTCCCTTACTCAAAGTTAACGAGTGAAAAGGGAGAAGAGCGGAGAATAATATTAAATAAATGGGAAACGTAGAAAATGGCAGGGAACATCATAGGGTGCGTGAAGACGGTAAGCCGCCTCACCACCCTGCATTATTTGCTTCTTCGTGATCTTATATTCGACTCTGCTAGATTATTATTGATTTCGCTACTTAAACGGGCGTAAATTAACCTACTAACACAGTAGGTATGAAGGTATTAGCCTGCAGTTTATATTAACTATGTAGCAGTGACCTAAATAAGAATTTATGGATACTGTGTAAACAATATTAAATTTGCATTCCGTGTCGTAGAAAAATGAGAATATTGTATGATCTTATTGCATCACGCATACCACATCGTCGGTTCTTCATATCTCAGAAACCAAATTTATGCTCATATTGAAATTTTGTATTCAATATTCTCTCATTATTAGTCGTCTTTTGGGACTTGGTTTAAAACAAGATTTCAAGGCGAGAAATTGCCGGATATTTGGCCTATTTGTTGCGGTTGTTCTTTGAAGTGAATTTAACAGATTCGAAAAGAAATTAAAATGTTCATTGTTCAATTTCCTTTTTTTAGATAAACTACAAAAGGAGTAGTGTAGGTTAACCCATTTCATTCAATTAAATGCTGTCTTGATTTGATGATAATCATTTTTAAAAATAAGGAACAATTGTTGTTTCAGACAATTTATTTACCGATTACTTTAGGTCTGAAAATCCATGACATAGGTTTTACTACAAAATTCCTCTCAATTTTGCGGCGTGAGGCTGACTGTTTTGTGTACGTAAAAAATGGCCAAATGTGGATATATAAAGGGTGCGATTAAAGAATAAAGAGAAAGGGAAACAACAGAATTGTTTCACAAATCGGTTCTTGGAAATCCGGGAATTGTGTTCAAAGAAAAAATGCGTTGAAGCATGCCGCGGGTTAACGATGCATGAAATTGATTCACAACTTCAACACGAAAAAATTGGGGCAGCACCTCACATTTGCAGGTCTACAGACTCGCACAGAACCTTTCGATATAGAACAAGGAGCTGTTTTGAAAATTGTTTCTTTATACAAACTGAAACAAGCAAAAAAATTGCACAGTTACGTAACAAGTCAGTGTATAATTTACAGTATGACCCACATTTAATGGCTGTCGGGTTATAACAAAGAACCAGATAATAGTCTGAAAATGGCAGGATAAGTTTTCTAAAACGGCTAAATCGATCGTATTTAGGGCATTTCAAGCATCTTTTGCCGTTTACTAAATATTAAAGTACCTAGTATAAGTTCAATAAATGAAGTTTGAAGTGTAATCGTTTTGCAGTTGTTACAACTAATGAAATTCGAAAAAGATTGTTAAAGGTGTGAAGAAAAGGTTAGAAGCGCTCGAAATGTGGTGTTACCAGCGAATGATGAGAATACCCTGGATAGAGAAGGATAGAAATGAAGAGGTATTAGAAAGAATAGGAGAACAGAGGACTCTATGGAAGTCAATAAGAAATAGGCGAGATAGGTTGGTAGGGAACCTTCTCAGGCATGAAAGGTTTAGTCAGAGACATATTAGAGTCAGAAACAGGACTTAAGAGGAGTAGGGGTAGATCTAGATTAGATTATTTTTCACAAATAGTTAGGGATGTGGGGTGTTCTAGTTTAGGGAAAGATTAGCTGAGGATAGGAAAGAGTGGAGGTGTGTGTCAAACCTAGGACTGGCGAACTTATGATGATGATGATGATGATGACTAACGCAGATCGGTGGTTCTGATACGAGCTAATTATGCTGGTGGATGTTACTGATAGTATGGCATGATATGACAGGCGAGATGGCGGCATGGATAACAGTTTATCGTTAGTAGTTTACTTAAATCAGACATCACGTCAGGGTAATCAATAGTCTAGTCATTTGGAGTCTACTATATAGACTCGTTCTTTACTAGATGCTGTAGCAAATGTCTAGCCAATCTTTTAGGTGCTGTAGCAAATGTCTAGACTCTGGAGTTCGCCTTCTGTCAGACACTATACTTCATTTACCTTCTCTAGCGATGTGCCCCTTCCAATGTCTTGGATGCGCGCTGGCAAAATCGGGGGTAGGGAGAAAAAAGCTTATTATACTCTCGATTCTTGTTCATTAAACATACTTTTTCATGCAGTACCTGTCAAAAGTTTTGTTCAATTATGAATAGTAGTGCGAATCGAAAACAAGCGTTAAAGCCTTTAATAAACGTCTCGTTGATATTTTCAGTAGTAAATGGTACCAATAACAGCACATTTGAGCAATTCAATTGTAGTGGATAAAATGGTCAATTTTTCCGTGCAGTACTGTGCGGATTATACGCTCCTCACCGGTTAAGAGTTTGGCCGAGAGTTGTCTCCTTCCTTTTCCGGCCTAGCGCTGTTCTTTTCTACTTTGCGCCGGTCAAACTGAAGGTCACATCGCTACAGAAACTAAACGAAGTATACCACCAGTACAATCGGTTCTTTTCAGAAACACAGATCTGTGACAATTCGAAACAACTACAAAAGCTTTTGAGGGGTAATTATTCAAAAGATTTTGAGAGTCCGGCTAGTTTAGGACAGTTCCATGAACAATTTGTTTTCTCTGTATTTTAATCATGACATTTCTCGATACCTCAGCCTAATAATTTCGTCGGCGGGGTAAAGGCGCAGTCACTACTGCATCCCATATTTAAGATCCCATGATCTAATGATGACATTTAAACACGTCCAACACGTTAAACAATTGTGACAACATTTTATCTTTTAATTAAACGTTTTAATAGTCAAGTAATTCCATAAAGTCCGATCCTGGTAGCAGATAACCATAAAAATTATTATTCATCATTACAAACACAAACCTACGCAAAGCAATCGATAAGTACCTATACAGAATATTATTATATAGTGATACGAAATCGGTATTTTATTAATAATCGTGATGAATTTCCTCAAAGTAGCTGTAAATTTATTTACCTATAATTTTGTAATTTAATCCGTTCTTTATAACGCCCGCTTATTACTACTGGTATTTAGTAAGGGTAGTAGGCGTCTTAATATTGTAGACGTTTGGGTGTATACAATCCCGATACAATAATAAGAGATTTTCAGACAAAGAGAGTTGCTGAAACAATATTAATGAGTTTTCATAATTAAACCGGGCCTACTGCGAAAATCACTTTGAGATTGGTTTAACTGCCAAGTGGCAAATTTATTAATTATTCGTTTGTTTGTTACAGATAATTGGCCCACAACGAGGGTTTCGTCGGAGGAGACAGACTTTGTAGGCTCCATTAAAAATTTAACAGTCCAGGTTGGCAAGGACGCCGTACTGTCATGCACAGTTAATAACTTGGGAAGATACAAGGTGAGTCTTGTATTGTAATGTTCGTGGGTTTAACAAAATTAACTTCTAAGACTGATAACGACAACAACTATTTATTTACACTAATTATTAAAGCACTTAAAAAACACTATTAAATTATTACTAAACTTAGGTTATGAATTATTCTATTTATTTACACTGCTGTTGATATATCACCATTCACTGCGCTATTTATTTCACTGCTATCACTGTTACTCGATTCACTTCTGCAACGGTCAATGTATTTCTTCCTCTCTCGGCGATGGTCTCTTCCTTTAAATACTCTTTTGTTTACTTTCTGGAACCTTCTGGAAACATCCGGATAGTTTATTTTTTCTTTGAACTGTTTAACTGTTTTCCCAGAACGCAGGTACGACACACACATTTACAAATACGGCGCACATGAAGAAAGGTGCCCGCGGCTAGTCGGCGAATCGATAAGCCGTTCACGCATACGTGTGCCCGATCGCACACAAACACACTCGCGCTCGCTACAGTATTATACAGAAGGACAGGAAAATGGACGATTTTAAAATTAAAGAAATTACTGGTTTGGAGTTACCCATGATTCAAATAATGTTATCTTTGATGTGTAATTGAATGTAAACAGTAGGAGATCAATGCCTAAAAGTTGGTTTTCACGTCTTCGGATACATTTGTTGATTTCGGGCTTCAACTACAGGCATCTTCTGAGATGTCTCATTGTTTACATACAATTAGTCATTATTCATGACGTATCGAAGAGACCATTTTCTGTGATACTTGATTAGAGATCAATAGCTTATTTGACTTTAAAATCGCCCATTTATTCTGTTTATAATCTTGTTTTCTTTTTTCCTTTGACAGGTTTCTGACCGTCCTCATATTCCTTCGTGTATAGTTTTGTCCACTCCTTATCTGACATTATTTCGCGTTGATAATGCCCGAATAAGAGGTGCATTAAGCATTCTTTGTGCATTAGAGTTTTTTTGTGTTTTCCGTTACTGTCGATGAACATGTCAATAAATGATTTTCATAAGTTCGTGTAAGAAATATGGATAACAAAGCGGACTGTTACAATTGATATTGAGAAATCAAATCCGTGGAAGCATACAATGTCAAAGACAACCCTATAAAGAATCATCCCCAAATAAGCATATGTTTGAAGTTCCAGTTAGACAATGCGTGCCTTGTCGTTCAAATACCTACTCAGGACTTCCCATTGTTTTTACTTTTTTGATGTGTACCCATCGAAAAAAAATATAATGGACAAAGGATGTCCTGAAGACGTCTTTGAAGTAGAGGCCTACTTAAGTAATTAAAAATCACCATTAGTCTATAGGTTATCGTTGAAAATAGTTTATCTAACTGCTAACTTGCTAAACGATAAGGAATAAAAATAGATATTTTATTAAACTTACAGTGGGCCTCTCTCATCTAGATCGATCTGTTTCCCCGTAAGTGATCTTCTAAACACAGAAAATCTGAAAAAAGGAGCAAATAAAAATTTTTGAATAGCATTTTAAACTAGTGAAATTAATAAAAAAATCAATTCAGAAGAAAAAAAGCATCCCATGTCTCTCCGTTACTTACAGAGTGCATGGGACTTGTCGACTTTATTCTGTTATCTATATGAATTTCCCCGGAGTTGTTTTTATTGCAAACAAAAAAATTCATTTGGGACAAAAAAGGAAGACTTGTTTCATTAATTACTCAAAAATATTTCTAGACAAAAAGATTTTGTATCCAACGCTTTTTATAGATGCTTTATTTAATGTACTCATCTTCTTTGAATTTTCATTCATTTTTTTGTTCTAGTACCGTACTCCCCTCACTACAATAAATTCTTCTTAACCCCCTACTTATTCCCTACGAAATGTCCGGTTTAATATTTAATAATTAATATATTTTGTCGTACAGCGTAAGAAATTTGGGTTCTACCGGGTGTAACAAGACACCACACATCTTGTTTGTTTCCCTGCTGGGACGACAAGTCAATTTTGTAATTTCATATGTAGAGAATTCACTTTTATGATTAATGTACATTTCATTTCAAGTGAATTAATTTTTATCACTGTAGATAACCTCAAATTAATAAGAAAAAATTGTTGCTGATGTCGCGCCCCCGCCGGGAATCGAACTCGGGTTCCTGGCTTCATAGCATTAAGCAACAATGAAGATCTTACCTAAATAAAAATTTTCTATATATTTTTTATTGTGCAGAGTTTGGAATTTCCATGCTTAGTGGTTTTTTATCACAAAAAGAAGCTCTGTGACAAAAGAATAGACGAATCTTTACAAGGGTTCCTTTTTTCTTTCAAGAAAAAAGAAGAAAGTTAATTGGGATAGTTAAAATTGAAATAAATTCTGTTTGAGAGAGCACCGTGAAGGTCGTTTATTGTCGCGTTGTTCCAACGTGCGCAGTTTTATATGATGACTGAATTGTGTGAATAAAAATGGAGTAAAACAAAACAGAAACGTGCCAATGCAAGTCGGCTCAATTTAAAGTACTAAACACGTTGTAAATCGTAGAGCTAGGCAAATAAACGTTTACAATACTTTTTACTACTTACTTTACTGTATACAGCAACTAGAGCTACATTTTACTTCCGGCGCCGAGTTGAGAAATTTACAAGGCTCATAAAATGTCACATTACGTCAGAAAGTTTCAAGGAATTGAAGGGTGAATTAATCCTTAATACTTATTACTTACAACCCCGTCTATTTGTAACGTTTACTTACATACAATTTAAAAGGTATTTCATAACTAAACGAGAGGCACGGTAAAGAAAATCTACAAATTTTTCAATGTCGTAGGAAAAATATTGGGATCCGTCAAATGGCAGGAGCCTAAAAACATGGCGCCGATTAGGGAAATTTTATCGTAGTTCCTATAGTGTACCGTGCAATTTCCAAGTTTTTAAATTACGATAAAATGATAAGTATTGACACAATATGTGATTGGGCTGACACAAAGCCTCGGAAAGGAAATTTCGTTGANGTCTCTCCGTTACTTACAGAGTGCATGGGACTTGTCGACTTTATTCTGTTATCTATATGAATTTCCCCGGAGTTGTTTTTATTGCAAACAAAAAAATTCATTTGGGACAAAAAAGGAAGACTTGTTTCATTAATTACTCAAAAATATTTCTAGACAAAAAGATTTTGTATCCAACGCTTTTTATAGATGCTTTATTTAATGTACTCATCTTCTTTGAATTTTCATTCATTTTTTTGTTCTAGTACCGTACTCCCCTCACTACAATAAATTCTTCTTAACCCCCTACTTATTCCCTACGAAATGTCCGGTTTAATATTTAATAATTAATATATTTTGTCGTACAGCGTAAGAAATTTGGGTTCTACCGGGTGTAACAAGACACCACACATCTTGTTTGTTTCCCTGCTGGGACGACAAGTCAATTTTGTAATTTCATATGTAGAGAATTCACTTTTATGATTAATGTACATTTCATTTCAAGTGAATTAATTTTTATCACTGTAGATAACCTCAAATTAATAAGAAAAAATTGTTGCTGATGTCGCGCCCCCGCCGGGAATCGAACTCGGGTTCCTGGCTTCATAGCATTAAGCAACAATGAAGATCTTACCTAAATAAAAATTTTCTATATATTTTTTATTGTGCAGAGTTTGGAATTTCCATGCTTAGTGGTTTTTTATCACAAAAAGAAGCTCTGTGACAAAAGAATAGACGAATCTTTACAAGGGTTCCTTTTTTCTTTCAAGAAAAAAGAAGAAAGTTAATTGGGATAGTTAAAATTGAAATAAATTCTGTTTGAGAGAGCACCGTGAAGGTCGTTTATTGTCGCGTTGTTCCAACGTGCGCAGTTTTATATGATGACTGAATTGTGTGAATAAAAATGGAGTAAAACAAAACAGAAACGTGCCAATGCAAGTCGGCTCAATTTAAAGTACTAAACACGTTGTAAATCGTAGAGCTAGGCAAATAAACGTTTACAATACTTTTTACTACTTACTTTACTGTATACAGCAACTAGAGCTACATTTTACTTCCGGCGCCGAGTTGAGAAATTTACAAGGCTCATAAAATGTCACATTACGTCAGAAAGTTTCAAGGAATTGAAGGGTGAATTAATCCTTAATACTTATTACTTACAACCCCGTCTATTTGTAACGTTTACTTACATACAATTTAAAAGGTATTTCATAACTAAACGAGAGGCACGGTAAAGAAAATCTACAAATTTTTCAATGTCGTAGGAAAAATATTGGGATCCGTCAAATGGCAGGAGCCTAAAAACATGGCGCCGATTAGGGAAATTTTATCGTAGTTCCTATAGTGTACCGTGCAATTTCCAAGTTTTTAAATTACGATAAAATGATAAGTATTGACACAATATGTGATTGGGCTGACACAATGCCTCGGAAAGGAAATTTCGTTGAAGGTGAGCGTGTTTTTAATGCCAATCACATTATAAAATTCGGAAATAACAAATCCGGAAGCTAGCCTTCAAATTCCGTCAAGTTTACTGCCTACTTTTTACAAACTTCGGATTTAAAAAGTGATTCACGTTATATAATTGGTGAGGTGATTCTGGGTGATTTAAGCAATATCATATCAATGACTTGCACGTGCAAAGCCGATTTAAGAGAACGTTGCAAACACATTATTGCAACTTTGTTGTATTGCAGCAGGTAGGTTCTTAACCTCAAAATACTTATATCGTATCATTAGAATTGTGTTAAATCAATTACACAGGAATAAATAATTTCTCACTTTATAATTTTAGTATGATTCTAGTTTTAAATATTAAGGTTATGGCTGATGGTAAATACTTGCTGAAATATAATCATGTGCATTAAAATGACGTGAACAAATTTTTATTCCGGAATTCACTTCTTTGATACCTACTGCTTTCATCCAAGCTTCTATTAGTTTACTTTTTTCTCTAATTTTCCGAATATATTTTTTACATATATAAAACGGTTAGTTTTTATTGGAAAGTAGTTAATGTAGGTGAAGAGTGAAGATCTATGTCTGA